AACGTTACGCTAGTATTAAACAGAGGGTGTATTAAACGCTAGTATTAAGCAGTGTTGTAATTTCATTACCGGACTGGATACTTTACATAATAACATGCATTTGAAAAAATGACCACAAAACAAAGTTTAAAGGCCAGTTGCCATGCAAGGTGCTAACTTGCTTGTGCTGTTTAATGTGTGAGAGATGCCTTCTTCAGCTCATTACTTATGTCTTACTATTATATTCTATGTTGTGCAAATGCTAAAAACTAAAAATCACAGACATATTTCCATTTTGCAAAACGGTTTGTCTTATCTTTTAAGATTATAAATGCCTTTGCTGTCACTTTTGATCAATTTAATCCATCTTTGCGGAATAAAAGTATTAATTTATTTAAAACTTTTGATCAGTAATGTACACTAGAAATTATATTTTAGAAGTAACTAATAGGATTATAAAAGACTTTACAGTAATAAGCACATTTCATAAATAATAAAATACTACAGCTCTTTAAAAGAACGGTTCACTTTTAAAATTCCTTACAGTATAAAATAAAAAATAAATGTAAAAAATCCAATAAAAATGGTCAGTAAGAAATCTGAATGGATGATACACACACGCATACATATATATATATATATATTTTTTTTTTTTTTTTATCTACAGCCACCTTGGACTATACCCATTTCATAACGTCTATGCTACATTAGGACACAATCAGAAATTCCTCAAAAAACTAACAAACAAGCAATCCAATTTCAAAGGAACTTCGAAAGAGCAGATCATTTAAATTTGATGCTGGTGAGACCAAAACCTGTGACAACATCTACGATTATCAACACCCCACAAAAGGAGAATCATGATGTGACACTGAATCAATTGCATCAGTCATTTTCATAGAGGCCCACATGTAGATGATCACGATGACATTTGTCATCACAATTTCCTTACAATGAGTTCTTGGGAAGTCAAATCAAGAATGAACACATCAGCCCTTTCACAGTTTCTCTCAGACCACCTACTAAGTTCCAGTGCAGCTTTCTCACTAGCTAAAATGACTGTCAGTGGACTATGAATTTCATAAAAACTTTAGGCAGTATTTTACAAAAACAAACATGGGGGTTTGGCTGTACATTGTCCATAAATAAGCACGTTATGCCAAATGAAGCAAAAGTCCAGGCAAAAGGATGACAGCACAAATAATATAACATGCAGCATGTGAATGTTTATGAGAAGATAAGTATATCATGAGGGCTATGTAGCTCATGTGGCCTTAGTGACGGGAACGCTGCGATGTATGCCCATTATTTTAACCGCACATATACCTCCCCCTGAATGCACCGAGGAGCTAAAACAACACTGGGGGCTTCTGCCCACAAACACCAAATGTGAAATTCTGAGTGTACTTGCAAAACTGTGGGAGAAGCATGCAAACATGTCTCAGTGGAAAAAATAACCGCACAAGCATTTGGGTTTTTAAAGAAACAGAAACTGAGCATAGCTTCCGTGTAGACACTTAAAGCCACACACACACACACAACAACATAAGATCTTTCTGCATCAAAATACTATTTATACATTAATTTGCATAAAACATTATTTAAATGTGCTCCAGTGTCATTAATAAAAATAAATGTAGTCTTTTTCTTTGCATAGACATTTTATGAATTGTCTAAACTTTCTACTTCTGAAGGTTTTAGTCATCTTTGTAATAGAGCCATGACAAAGCAATTGAACAAGCTAACAGTTTTGACACCTTCTTTTTGAAATTCACAAATTTCTACAATATAACTACAAATACAAGACATTGGCTCTGTTTACACCTGGTATTAACATCCGTCTTGGGTGATTTGATCACAAGTGGTCAACCTAATCGCATTACTGCTTACACCACACGCACTTCAAAGGCATTGGACCACTTGTGATTGGATTTCATCAAACTGGGGAGATTTCCTTTCATGAGTGCATACATCATTGTAGCAATGCATGCATGTGCACTACTGTTCAAAAGTTTGTGGTTAGGATTTTTAAAGAAGTCTCTTATGCTCACCAAGACTGCAATTATTTGATCATAAATACAGCAAAACAGGAATATTGTGAAATATTATTTCAGTAATATTGTTTCAGAAATAATTGGTGCTCAAAAATTTTTTTTTTCCATAATCAGTGTTAAAAACAGTTGTGCTGCCTAATACTTTTGTGTGAACCGTGACACATATTGTCTTAAACAGAAATCTTTCATAACATTATAAATGCACAGATAAAGCACAAAATAATCAACTAATATTATTATTAATAAAATATATTTATATTATAAAACACAAATAATATACAAACCCGATTCCAAAAAAGTTGGGACACTGTACAAATTGTGAATAAAAACAGAATATAAAATATATTTATATTATAAAACACAAATAATATACAAACCCGATTCCAAAACAGTTGGGACACTGTACAAATTGTGAATAAAAGCTGAGGAGACAAGTATATCTGAATTTTATCATTGCTATTTTTTAAACACAAATATGATGATTAAAACAGAATACTCAGTTATTATTCATTAAATGAATTTCAGATATGATCTACATTGTTAACTTAACTTTTACCCCAAGATAATTATCTGTGTCACTGCATATGGCATACTGAAGCTGTTCTGTGTAATCTGTATATGTATGGAATTCTATCATATTTTTCAAGATGATGCATAAACAGCAAACTGTGAAACGTTGACATTTTATCAGTGGTTGATTAGAAAATTACACATTAGCATTTACACTAATGTATGTGCCACATGCAACACCCCTAAAATGTGGTTTCAGTGACTAGGTCCAAAACAAGACTTTGTTTACACCTGTACTGAACACTTGTGATTGGATATTAACATGTATGTTAATACCAGATGTAAACATGTAAATCAGTACTCCTGAGAAGTAACAGTTTTGAGGTGCATGACAATGTATAACTGAGAGAGACGCTTTACTTGTTTTTTTGTAGTGTTTTTTTTGTTTTTTAAAAAAAATAAAAATAAATTAAAAATTAAAAAAGAAGATAAATATAGATATAGTAGAATTAAAATAGAATAGAAAGTGTTAGAGTTAGAGGGTCAAATAAAGGTGGAAGAGATGTGTTTTTAGTCGTTTCTTGAAGATGGTTAAGGACTCAGCTGCTCGGATTGATTTGGGCAGGTCATTCCACCAGGAGGGAACAGTTAGTGAAAAAGGCAGTGAAAGAGATTTTGTGCTTTTTTGAGATGGCACAATAATACGCCATTCACTTGCAGAACGCACAGAACTCTGAAGTAATGAATTTAGGTAAATGGGTGCAGAGCCAGTGGTGGTTTTGTAGGCAGACGCATATACTAACTAATGAAGCCTCCTACTAGAGACTAGAACATACTAGGCTTTTTATTTTCATTCCTATTGTTTTATGGATCATTTGTTTTTTTTCTGTTTTGAGAAAATGTTAAACAAATAATTAAATATGTAAAAAAAAAAATCGCTTGTGCACATCTTACTTTTTTCCTCTAGAGTCCAATTACACAATAATATTTCAAAATTTCACAGTACAACAGGTAATGGACAATTATTCAACTTAGTCATGCAGTGTAATGTTTCGAAACAGCTATGCTATGCTAAAACTAGACAGACACAAACACTGTCAGAACACGGTTATGGTTTATCAAACAGACTAATTCACACATTCAACCTCAGGATTCATTCAACACGTGTGTTTATTAAAGTCTAAGAGTATATTTTCTTGATTTTCCATTGACTTCCGAATGATATCCATTTTTAACCCTGCAGAGTTGTAGCGGAATGTTACGGAGTCCTCTCACCTCCCCCCGATCGACCCCTTTTTTATGAATAATTGGTGATGTGTGTCAATATTGCACCCCATAGTAAGCATATGGTTGGCCTGAGCAAGACAGGCGTTTGTTTGGTGCTGTGAAATATTGTGTTACCCTGTGAAATGTGGAGCCAGTGGAAGCAGAAACGGTTGCTCAGACTGACATTTACATTGTGTGTCTGAATGGGGAAACTTCTGAGGAAAAGATGCGAGTTGACCCAGACCGAATGTCCTGACTTTCGAAAGAAAAGACGATTTGACATGGTATAAGGTCTTCCATCGCTTCCCATCTCTCGCTATCTGCCTTTCAGCCTTTTTTGAAAAGTTCCATGCCCTAAATCTAATCTACCCGAGTTTTAAAACTCTTTACTCGATTAATTTATAATGACGAAGCATTAAACCCGTTTAGTTTCTATGAATAAATCTGTTTACCCTTTTCAACTCCAGGTCTACGGGAGCCGCCATGATGCTGAGTAGAATGAGGCACTGCGCATGCGCAAAGTGAAAGGTCTGCCTAGACCCCCTCTCGCCTGGACAGCATTTTCGGTTTCGGACAGACGGCTGGCTCTCAAAAATGCTCTCTAGATAGGCAGCACGGTAGGTTTATATTATGGAAACAGCCTCAGTCTTAAAATGGTGTCGCACAGGAATGTCATGGTGCATAAGATATTAAACGTGTGCAAGACTTTATATTTATTGTGAATAATATAATGTAAGTGTAATGTTTCAAAAGCCAATGCTGCCTTTTCTATTTTTACAGCCAGTTTTGCACTACATCTGGAATGTTTCAATTCAGTGCTACATTGCTCAAGAAAATATCTGTAATTATTAACATGTTGTTTTGTCTTGTAAAGTCAGGTATGTTCTGCACTATGGCTCAAGGAGTCACTTTATTTAGTTTCTTCTGCCATACAGGAGACAAACTATAGTAAACCAACCAGCACATGCACATTCCATGAGACGTATACCAATACATATACAAATGTATATGAGATGTATACCACAACATAACATAACACAACATATTCATTCCCACCCCAGTGACCTCTCAATTTTTTTAACTTTACAAAAAAAAAATAATACAAGACAGATATGCTACAACATATATTATATATTATAATAATATAAACACTTAAAATAAGATCACAGACCGTCACAATGTTTTTAAACAAATGTTTATTAAAGTGAAACAGTAATTTCATTGGTTAAAGATATTTGGTTATCATTGCTTAAAATTAGTAAATGAAATCATGTTATTTTATACTATACACAGTACTTAAAATATTTTGATAAACATATTCTATTTTATTTCACTTAATTTAAGCTACACTTTCTCAGTAATGGATATACCTACAAAGCCCTGTGTCAGACATTCCTCCACAGTATGTGATTTAATTGATTGCATTTTTAGAGCTCCACAAATCTGTTTATTTCACAGTTTAGCTATAATATTATTTAAACTATACTGGAGGGTCTTCCATATGTGATTGTACAGTCTGTTATGCAACTTCAGTCCTATTATTATTTGATTGTATCTATCAATAATAAATATCTATACAATAAAAACATGTACAAAACTAACAGTGCATTCAGTACACAAAATTGTTACATATCAAAATAAATAACCAATACATTATAAATAAATAATTACAAGTCCTTTGTGGTGTTTCCGACAGTACTATAGATTTAGACTGATGGGAGAAACGCTCTGGTTACAAACGTAACCTCGGTTCCCTGAGATAAGGGAACGAGCGTTGCGTATACACGCTTATGGGGGAAACTCCTGTTTACTCTGATACTAAAGCCTGATTTGTTCAAGTTCGTATACCTGCATGAACAAATGGCGCTTCAACCCGCCAAAAAGCGAGGAGCCGACTACTAAATAAGTTGGCTCAAAGCAGTCAGAATCTTTCGACTGTCAGCTGCAGCCATCGTCTCGCGTGCGGACTTATAGCACGGCAACTTACGTAACGCTCGTTCTCTTATCTCAGTGAACCGAGATTACGTTAGTAACTGGAAAGTTCCCTTTCGAACGGTCTCTCCCGTTGCGTATATACGCTTATGGGGAACGCATCCAAATAGCACTGTGCTATAAGTAATTGCATAACTAAGAAGCTCTACGTGTCGAAAAAAGGGCCCTTGAGAAGCATGAGTATGAATGAGCCCCGAGCTTAACTCGCTGGGGACGACATAGTAAAACCTACATAGGACGACCAGTCGGCGGCCGCACAGATATCGCCAATAGAGATCCCACTGGACCATGCCCAGGAGGAGGCCAATCCTCGAGTGGAGTGGGCCCTCACCCCAATAGGGCAGTGAGCCCTCTGTGGCATAAGCCAGGGCTATAGCATTGACTATCCAACAAGAGTCATTGTTTCATAACTGGCAGCCCTTTGGAGCCGCCTCCGAAGCATACAAAGAGCTGCTCCGAGTGTTGAATCGGGCCAGAGTGCTCAACATACACTCTAAGAGCCCTAACAGGCAGAGTGGATTTTGACCCTGCTTGTCCTCTGAACTAGGAAGAGCTAGAAGGGTAATAACTTGTGCTCTAAACAGGATTGAGAGCACCTTAGGCACATAGCCGCGTCTTAGCTTGAGGATGACTTTGCAGACGTTAGACTCAAACTTAAGACATGAGGCACTGATTGACAGTACTTTCAGGTCACCTACTCACTTGACCGATGCTAATGCCAAGAGGAGGGTGGTCTTGAGCGACAGGTGCCACAAATCAGCCAACTGGAGCAGCTCAAAGGGAGGACCTCGTAGAGCCCTAAAGACTATAGACAAGTCCCAAGTCGGCACAGTGAGGACGAAGCGGGTTCAACCTCCGAGCTCCCCTCAGAAATTTAACGACCAGGTCATTTTTACTGACTTATTGGCCAGCCACGAGAGCATGATTCACTGCGATGGCTGCCACTTTTGAGTGTGGAACATTGGGTGCGCCCTTTATCCAGCAACTCTTGTAAAAAGGTTAGCACGTGTGGCATGTCACAAGAGGACGGGTCCAGGCTGCTAGGAAGGCATACAAGCGAGCGCAGGGCCAATCATGGGCCCGGGTATCTTGGTGCTTTAAAAAGTAAATTGGGCAGTAAAAGTTGTCTTCTTAGGCGTAGAGGTCTACCTCTGCCCTCTAGAAGACAGACCAGATCATTTGAACCGGGCGAGCTACATTGCCCCTGTACAGCATGTCATTTGGGCTGGATCGAACACTGTCCCCAGGAAGACGATTCACTGGCTGGTTGACAGAACTCTTGGCTAAATTGATCTTTAGCCCAAGTTGCTTTAGATGGTTGAGTAACAACGATATGGGAGCGATAAGTTCCTGCTCCGACCTGGCTAGCAACAGCCAGTCGTCAAGGTAATACAACCTGACACATCCGGGATAGCTAGATGGACAGTGGTTTTAGCTTTTCGATTGGCAGATTGCCACTATAGGGTAGGGACCTGACCGCCATGACAGTGAAAAGTGGAGAATTGCTCTTTTGAGTATGTGGGTCCACTGTCACAGCAGTAATTTTATTGGGCTGAAGGGCGGGTCCAGTTAGAACAGAGCTTCCATTGCCTACAAGGCTGGGGAATGGAATGCAGACAGGACCCTTCTTTGAGGGAAATCCAGCCTCTGCGAGACTTAGCCCTTTCCTCTTCCTCTCTTGCTGATCAGGACAGCTTTTGAGGCTCAGGATCCAGCATCAGATGTGGGTGGGGTCCTTGGCATTTCGGAAATGGAAATTGTTTTGCCATCTTGAAGCGCTGTTCTAGCCCAGGCTCAGATCTCAGAGGAGGCTGGGACTTTAATGGCGCAGCTTTGGCAGGCTGTTGAGTGGATGGAGCGTTCTGGTGACTTGTAGCAGCCACCGAACTGGAACGTTTTGGCAGGAAGTCCTGCATAGCTTGCGAGGACTTATGAGCTGCTGTAAAACGCTCAGTGAATCCATCCACAGCTGGGCCGAACAGTCCCTTTGGAGAGACAGGAGAGCGACTCTGTCAGCGTCCCTGATTTCAGTTGAGTTAAGCCAAAGGTGGCACTCCAGCACCACGTTGGCTATGGCCTTGACAATCGCCTGTGCAGTGGCCTTTTTAGTGTGCAGAGCCAGGGCAGTCACTGTGCGCAGTTCTTTGAAGGCCTCAGGATTCTGTCCAGACTCATCCATGCCATGGAGGAGTTTGTCCTGAAACACTTGTAGCACCGCCATCTTTTGTAGCGCTGAGCCAGCCTGGCCAACCGCTACATAGGCTCTATTCGCCAGAGCGGAGGTCGTTCTGCAGGGCTTAGACGGATGCACTGCATGGGCTTTTACCCCCAAAGCTGATGGAGGGCACAAATGAGCAGCAATCGCCTCCTCCAAAGGGGGGAGCTTGCTGTATCCTTTTTCTTCAGCACCATCAACAGAGGTGAGAGCAGCAGAAGTGGAAGAGTTAACACAAGCTGAATAGGAGGCGTGCCTTCGTGAGAACGCGGATCAGCTCGCTGTCCACGCTGGGCCGTATTGGTTGAGAGGACGGGAGGGGGTCCAGGTCCTCACCGGGACATGCCCAGTCCTATGTGTCAGAGGCCGTCAATGACATAGAGGGGCGCTGGTCCTCACGTGTGAAACACACCAGCGAATCGAGGTGCTGCGGGAAGAGTGAGGTACATGGGGCTTGAGCCAGCATGACATCACTTGAGCCCAGGGGATTCCTGCAGCCCCAATGTTTCTTCCTCCGAGGTTCCTGGGTGGGGAGAAACGAGGAAGCAGGCTGTGGAGGACTGCCTCTGTTGAAAATGACGATCCGAGAGCAAAGCTCTCGCAAATAGGGTAATCAGTCCCGGTGAGCGCAGCCCAGTCAAGCGACACACTCACCGTGCCTATCTGCTTTTGAAATTTGCTCTTAAGTTGCCAGATGGCCGCAGGGGAAGGAGCTCAGCGATCTTCTGCTGCCAGGGGCTGGTCTATGGCAAGCTGCTGAGCTCCGGCTTCTAGCGTCAGCTTCGGCGTCGGCTTCTTGCTTCAGAGTCCAGCAAGGAGTCGCTGAAGGAGAACATTTTGACGAATGGCTCTCTGAGCCGACTTATATAGTAGTTGGCTCCCCCCCTTTTGGTGGGTTGAAGCACCATTTGTTTGTGCAGGTACACGAACGTGAACAAATCAGGCTTCAGTATCAAGAGTAAACAATAATTTCCCCATAAGCATGTATACGCAATGGGAGAGACCATTGGAAAGGGAACCAGAAACACCCTTTTTGAAATAAATAAATAAGCAACAAAAAAAAAGCAACTTGATTAAAGTCGCAATACATTCATTCGGTTCAGTCCTCTCAGTATGTTCTCCACAAGGGGAATACATTGATAAGGACATTGTACTGCACATGGAAGCAGCATTCAAAACATCCTTCATGCCAGTGTAGACAGCCACCATGACTGCAGGACATCAAGGGCATAGGATCAGTTTAAACGGGGGTTATCTATCCATGGGTCACATGTCCTTTTGGCTTTCTTCGCCCTGTAAAACGGTAATAAATATTATTTTGTATTAATTTTAATAAGAAACAAATAAAATCTGGCCATTCATTGAGAACTATTTACCTTTCTTCCCTTATCACTTCTGTACTGACGTTGCTTCAAGTTTGACCTTTTCTTCTCTTTCTACATCAGCATCATCTTTTTTGTGGTACCTGTAAGAAAAACATGCTGAATATCGAAGGAATTTTGTAAAACATCCATGGTTTAATAATTAATAATAATATAATGCTGATTCATGGCAACTCACCTTAGTGCCAGCAGAATAGCGATGATTGCGAGACACATGAGGGATAAGACCACAGCTATGACTGCTAGAGCTGTGGTCCGGCTGTAACGCTGTTCCTCCTTACCAACTGGTAGGGTAAATATATGGCATCTCTCTCCTGAGTATCCTGCTTTACAACTGTAAGAAAGACCATCCAAAAGATCAAAATTAGTTCAACCGCACAACAGGAGAATCATATCAAATAAATGAATTAATTCATTCAAATATTCATTTAGATTAAATTCCTATTCTGTAAAAGCAATAATTCTGTTATCTTTGATCATTCTACTCTTTTTCTGCTCTAATTTTGTGCTATCCTGATCTACTATTCAAACTGTATATTGTAATATTGCTGATATTGGGGGCCTTTATATGATTAACTGCTTGTTTTTTCCCCTCATTTGTAAGCAGCTTTGGATACTGCTAGATGAATAAAAGTAAAGGTTAAGCCTAAAACAAAAGATGTCCTTAATTTGTTGAAAAAGAACTGGAAAAAAAACTAAAGAACTGTATGAAACTCACACACAAGAATGAGTGTTCAACTCCTTCAGATGCTGACACACTCCGTGAATGCAGAAATCTTTGTATTCCTCCAGGCAGGGGTTCTTCTTTCTTCCCTTGCCTTTTCCTTTGCCCTTCCTTTTTCCTTTTTTTGTCTTCTTCTCAGTAGTGGGAATCACTGATGGATGTTTGGGTTTGGTGGAAAATGCCACTGTTGAGCAAGAAAGAGCGGTGATGTCAGTCCATGATGATCTAATATCATACAATAGTCTAACACACTCAGTTCATATATTCACTAGCATTTCCTGTGAAAGTATACGGCACTTAGTTTTATTATTATTTTTAATAATAATATAATAAATCAATTGGTTTAACACAAGTAGTTATTCCACAAATTGTGACTTCAAAATGTACTTTTTTATATTTTAAACAATTATACTATAAAGTATATAATATATATATATATATTTTTTTTTTTTTTTTGCAGTAAAATGTAGGCATGTGGGCACTAAGCCTTGAAACACCAACTGACCACTTTTACAAATTGCATTCAAAGAAATGAAGCAACTCTACCTCTTGGCTTGTTAGAGTCATAATCTTCAGAGAGATGACCGTCTTCATCATAATCGTCATCTTCATCCACAATAGTCCCACTGTCCACCTGGTGCTCTGTTGTGTTTATTTTCTCTAGGGTGTGAAAGAGGTTGACCACTGTTGTTCTGGGTTTGGCACTCTCATACCTGTCCACAGAGGCGCCAATGCACACCTTGAGTAACACTGGAACAGAACAAGACACTTTATATATAAAACACATATTTTGTGTATCTTGCATACAGTCAGTATGTACACGAAAAAGAAAAAACAATGGCAAAACTGAAAGCTGATGGGGATTATAGATACGCGTATAATGCAAAATGTTAAATCAAACCACGGACAAAATAGGGAATAAAATGAGCAATCTGTCAAACGTGGTTAGAAGAAGCTCGTAGCAACAAATCATATACTTTCAAAATAAAAAATGTCGCTGCAAAGGACTCATTTAAGAACCTCGTGTAACAAAGTGCCACATATTGGGCAGGTCCGCGTGCAAGTTATAACAGCATATTTCATTAAGAAGTCATGGTTTTAAACACTCACCGAAACCACATACGAGAAAGATGACGATTCGTAACGTATACATATTCCTTTTAGTATAATCCGAGATATTACAGGATCAGAAGTTGGTCTCGCTGTAACGTTACCTCCCCGCCTCCAGCACACTGAGCACAGTCCGCGATCTGGACGCAAATGCGCGCGTGCTGGGGACTGTGTCAAAAGTCTCGTGCGGAGTGCTGGGAACAAAAGCGCGCGCCGGTGCAGTTATATAGACCCGACACACACTTCTGTTTTATGAATCATTGGCCACACCTTATCAATCATCAGCACATAAGGCACAAAGCTGATATATAGTCCATCTAGTCAAGATTGATTAAGAATTTGACACGTCAATAATTTGAGGGGACAGCAGTGTCACAGGTTTATTATTGTCAAGTTAATAATAAATCCAGTTCAAGATGGAAACTAGCTTCTAGATTTCAACTAGCTTCCAACTACTATGATCCAAAAAAACGCTTTAACGTAAACTGGTATGACCACCTCAGCTGGTTTAGTGATTATCCACAAGTTTGGACCTGCTATGAGTTTAAACTGAATTTATCAGCAATGAACCAATATATCATCTGTAAAAGATTGGGTCATGCTTTAAAAATATTATATATATATATATATATATATCCCACTAACTTTTGTATGCCTGTGATTTTTTAAATAGAAAATGGATGATAAATCGGTTGAAACAAAAGTTAAAACGGTCTAAAATTACTGATTACTTTTAAATACATGCATTCTCATGTATTATTTCAAGATACAGAAATCGTTCACGACAGTTCATTAAAAAAAATGGTGATCATTATCTGTAGTTGGATCGCTGGCACCACCTTGTGCTCAAAATAATAATCTGACCATATGCAGACATGATCCATAAATTCAAATCTTTTTTATAATCATTAGTGAGGAACTGCCTAGAAGAAAGCCTATATTAGTCCAGTCATGCTAACTTGGTTGTTCTTGAACTACAGTTTATTGTTGGACCTTTGTTTTAACCTAATGATTTTGTCTGACAGAAAAAAAAGACAAAACAATGTGCATAAAGCAGAGACAACACATTTGTGAATGTTTATTAACCACATAAGAAATCAAAGACAGACCAATAGAGCGAATAGCGACATCTACAATAATGAAAATTAAAATATGCATCTTGTGAAGTAGCCAGACAAGAAAAGCAAAAACATTTTCCAGTTCATTTTTAAAAATCAGTTTCAACAAAGTTCTTTCCGCATTATATAAAAAGTGGAGTTGCAGCACCTCATGCCATGCGAGGCTGGTGTTCTATAGTCTCTGAAGTGAACAATTTATCTGGAGGATATTTACAAGCATGGGGCTAATGGACAATTGCCATTACTTGAGCTCAACGGCTGACCCTTCAACTCAGGAATTGCAGGAAATGTAATACTGATTCCAACACTGAGGTTCAGAGGACAGGTGGGCAAGGAGTGAATCTGATTCTTCCCATAGCAGTCATCAAAAAACTAAAACCAGATGGCCTCAGCAAAATCGAGAAGTCCCAACACTCAAATATATTCCTTCAGGTGCGTCTACATGCCCCAGCCCCCTCCCATGCCATTCATGCTGACTGATCCACGGCTGCCGCCATAATAACTGCTGTTCATTCCGCCCTGGCTATCTGTTGAAGTACAGAAATAAACATGTGAAAACCAGAAGAGTGTGCAAAATTAGAAAATATACAACTAAAAAAATAGTACAAAGTTAAAACCCACTGTAGTCATTGTAGCCTCCCATGCTGGACTGGTTGCTGTATCCTCCAGTGTAGCCTGACAGCTGCTTCACTATTGTCTGTACAACAATTAATAGAGATTAGAATAAGACATAACTGTTCCATGCTGGACTATTATTCAGGGTTTCTCTAAGTTTTATGAAGGTAAATCTAAGACCAAGTAAAGAAAGTTCAAGGAATAAACTGAATGGAACACAATGTGTCAATATGGTCTCGAAATGTCATGCATTGTATTAGCAATGCTTCAAAGTTTGAAAATACAACTTCCAACAGATCTCCATTACTTTTTAATTAATTTCACAAAAAAAAAAAAAAAAGTTTTTGGCTTAAATACCTCTGCTCCCAGCCACTAGAATATGGAAATCATCTGCATTTTTGTCTTGTTTTTCGATGCAAAAGTCCAAAAATTCTTAGACATTTACGTGATGAGGCAAAATTACATGAGTCTAGTTTTAAGAAAATAACATAATAATAATAATTAAATCATTTTAAAAACAATTAAATTGTTCAATTTCCCAGAAAACAAGACTTCATATCTTCAATTTGCATCTTAAGTAAATAAATGTGTCTTGATTTAAGGATGTTTAGATATCTGTATTGGAAAATCTCTTTTATTTACGAAAGCGTGAATTAAGACTTTAAGACCGGCAGAAACCCTAATTATTGTGCCATTACTATCACATCAACTTGCCCTTCTCAATCTAATTTGAAAATTCACAGTAGTTATACCATTAACTTACCCATCCCCCCAATCATCTGCCCGCCGTAGCCCCCGTTACTGCCCCCTGCTGTTGAGTTTAAGAATAACTCAACATAACGGTGTTCTGAAAAGGAAAAAGGGGACTGTTTATATACACACACATTTTGAATGCAAAATGAATAACAGTAACACAAAAACAATTCTTTCTAGTCAGGATACACCTAACTTACGCATGTTGGCTTTGTCCTTTGACATTGCAGCCACTGCATCTTCATGTGTCGCAAATTCCACGTCAGCTTCACCAGTTACCCGCCCATCTGGCCCAATCTCAATGTGCACACGCACCGGGTTCAGAGGAGAGAAAAACTGCACAGAAAAAGTTTAACAATTTAAAATGCATATATTTTTAACAACCAAATATATTTCCAAATGACCTTCATTTTCATAAATCATAAATTAAGCATATTAAACAGCTCCAACTTACATTGTAGATGTCGGGTTCTGTTGCCCGGTAAGGGAGTCCCCTCATATGAACACAATGACCTGTGGTACTCTGAAAATTACCACCATCACCATAACGTCCATCTGAGGATCCTATAAAAAAAAAAATACACAAGTAAAATCAAAGAAAGCACATGCAAGATGGCTAAAGCACAAAAATGTGGCACACTGGCAAAAAGAAGCTGGTCTCACCTCCACCGTATCCGCCACGTCGCATCCGATCAAAGGATCCCCCACGACTCATGCCATTGTAGCCTCGGCCTCCTCCGCTGGGTCGGTCGTAAGGTCCTGGTCTCTGCATGCCAGTGCCTTTACGTGGGGGTTCATAATGTGTCCGCACTTCAGCTCGGCTGCTCTTAAAGATCTCAATATACCTATAACCGTACACATGAGCATTAAGGTGCAATGCAAGAACTCAACACAGACACTCCTGTTCAGAAGCAAAACGGACACCAAAGAAACAAAATTAGGTAACACTTTACTTGAAGGGGTGTGCATAAGACTGACATGACACATGTCATGAATATGAAGGAGGTTTTATGCATGTTTATGACAACTGTCATTAAGTGACATTCGCTCAGTTATGTCATTTTTAATGCAAAAATGACATTATTTGACCTAACACTACCCTTACCCCTAACCATAGCCCATAACAAAGACATCTCAAACAATGTCATCTTTACATTAAAAATTACATAACTGAGCGAATGACACTTAATGACAGTTGTCATAAACATGCATAAAAAAACCTTCATATTCATGACGTGTCATGTCACGATTATGAAGGTGTCATGTCATGATTATGCACACCCCTTCAAGTAAAGTGTAACCCAGAATTATAAGTATGATACTGTAAACATTCCCCTGCGCTACATGTACAATATACATGCACTCGAGTGTTTGCTATTAATAAGCATTTTTGACCATCTTATTCACAAATGTATATACGTCTCCATTCTAGAGCTTTACAAAAGAACATTTAGCCCTTCTATAATTTAAAAATAAAATAGTATACCTTTAATTGTTGACGCAAAAATGAAAATGTACTCGCATCTTAAATGACCTGAGGGTGTTCAAGCTTTCATTTTTGGGTCAACTATTCCTTTAATAATATTGTTGCTGTATCCCAATAACAAAATTCAAAGCTTTTTAAACAACTGTTAAATTTTGCTGTGCCATCCATGCGTTCAACTTTCAGCATAACAGAAAATAGAGACCCATTACACAATCCAGTCTAAAATGGTATTCAAACCGGCTGCTGCAAGGCACTCATTTGCATACTTAAGAATTAGAAAATCCCATGATGCCCAAGTGCACCATTGCTATGCACTACATATGCATTCAGCCTTTTTGAATCCAGACATTTTCATGACTGCTCACAAATAAACACATAAGACAACAAAACAGCAGGAATCCATCAAGGCCCTGGGAGCCCTCTGGTAAAGACGTGTGCGTGTCCATGTGGCGTGTGTAAATTCATGTTGCATACCACTTTGAATGTTTACTGTAGTAGGTGTTTACCACATGAAAAACAGCTATCCGTGAAAATCCAACCATCCATCCCCACCTGTGCCCTATTCTTTCCTTGTGTTTCTTTAGAGCCTTTTCAGCTATTTCCTGTGAAGCAAACTGCACGAAGGCCTCCCCCGTACTCCTCCCCTGGAAGTCCACCGGCAATGTTATCCCATTTGGCACGATTTCCAACCCTTCAACCCAAGGACAGATAACCCCAACGGGGACATATTAAATAAATCACATGCCCATTTACAATGTCTGTTTTGTTGTTTTTTTTCTTGAATGAAAATAAGGAATTAAAACTAAAAAGCATATTGCAATGAAGCCTACTGGGAGAGTTCCACCACTTGGGAACATGGCCTACAAGTGGCCAAGCATTCCACTAACTTGGCTTAGCCTCGATGATAAAGTGGCCATCCCAAAAGTTGGTAGCTAACAAAGGAATAATCCTAAAGTAGCAGAATAATTTGGGGCAACAGTGCTGGATTAACTAACGAATCGTGTCAAATTATTCTAGCAACCATGGGAATGGTCAGATTCACCTCAATGAGTACTACGCTTGGCCAATACTTCTCCCGATGACTATGTGAAGGGCTGCAAGAAGGAGTTTGAATATACCTGAGAAAAACTGCACAATCTCTTCCTTGCTACATCCAAAAGGAAGGCCGCGCAATCTGACCAGTCCATCTCCCTCGGTCTCTGGACAGTTTGGACCAG